TCTGTCCATGAAGAGGGCTGCCTTGGAAGCCTGCCACAAAGGCTGGGGAGTCAGTGTGATAGTTGGAGTGGCTGCTGCTGGCCAGGAGATCTCCACACGGCCATTCCAGCTAGTAACTGGGCGGACATGGAAAGGGACTGCATTCGGAGGTAACTCTCTTGCTGGATAAAAATAATTGACTCTGGGCTATAGCTGGGAAGAACACACCCCCTTGGTTTTGCTTGTGCAAGAAATGTACTGTTGACAGGCTATTCATAAATGCTACGCTGGCTTTTAAGATAAAAACTCTTAAAATCTCTTACTCCTACAGACAGGGTACAGATTAACACAATGGTATGATAAATTTTGAAGAGAGAAGGTATCTATATGCTGCTCAGTACTAAAGGAGTGGGATAGGGAGACTGCTTTAATCACCAAGTGGAGGTTTGGTTCAGTTTGGTGAGATGGGAACTCACATCAATATCTTTGTGTTGCTTAAGCACTAGTAAATTGTGGGGCCAACGTGACAATGTGCTAGAAAGACGTTTAAAATATAAAGGGAACAAGAGATTGATACACATTTTCTTCTGTCAACTCAAAACCACATTGAGTTCTTTTTCTGTGAAATTCAGTAATTGCTGAAGTTGATGGAAGTATTCAGACTTTGAATTATTACACTCCTCTTTGTCCAAGCAATACAAAACTTACTGGATTGGGTTATAAAGATATGTAGGGGGCCTGATAGACCTGCCTTGTATATACCTTCCTAGGTGAGGGCTGCTGTCAATATTGAATGCTGAAACAGCTAGTGAGAGATTTTCCATCAACACTTGCGTGTGTTTGGATAATCTGTGCTTTTGCCAGACCTCTGTGGGAGGGACAAACATTTCACTTGTCTCTGTTCCTTTTCATATTGATCACACAAGTGCCTGTGTAAGGGCTGTGTTTTCAGTTTTCTGAGATGGGTGGAAAAAGGAAAAAACAAGGAATGTTTTGCTTCTTTCAGGCTGGAAGAGTGTAGACAATGTACCAAAACTGGTGACTGAATACATGTCCAAAAAGATCAAGGTTGATGAATTTGTGACTCACACGCTGCCTTTTGACAAAATTAATGAGGCTTTTGAGCTGATGCATTCAGGAAAAAGGTAATGTTCACAATATTGAAAGGTATACAAGACACTTCTTGCTCAGACACTGTCAAAGTACAGGTTCCCTGCACACTGTCATGTTTTAAACAGGGAAGCTAAAGGGTTACATACACCACATGCATTGATTCTGATATAAATACACTTTTCTGAGCTTCCAGGCATGTGCCAAAACACAGGCACATAGTAAAAAGCAAGCAACAGTGTACAAGACTAATACATACAGATGTAAAGCTGATCAAGGGGACAGGTCAGTCTCAGGCTTTCACCATTGCTAAAACATTCTTCCTTATACAAAGGAATGTAAAGAGACTGAAGATTACATTCAGTAATATTTAGGTTTCTCTGCAGATTCCAGAAATGAGCATGGTCTTTGATCTCAATCTCTATCTATTGTATATAACTTTAGAGAAAGTACTAGCTTTATCTGCTCTATGTGCTTTAGCTCATATGGGTTCTGTTTTGGATAAATCAGTTGACTGTAGTTGTTACAATTGAAAACACTGCATTTTTGCATATTTCATCCAGCAGTTGATCCCTGTCCCAGTTAAAAACTTCAGTATCATTTCAATGCTATACTCATACATGAGTAAGTCCTAGGAAACTAATAATGAAAGCTGCCTAACATTTTCCAAACAGACAAAAGGGAGAATGCCTGTAAATATTACTGCTCCTGATCAATCTTGGCTAGCTACTGAAAGCTGACACCTAGTTTGAAAAAGCATTCATTTGGAGTTAATTTTACTGGAGGAGAGATTAAAAAAAAACTCTGAAGATAACAAGCATTATCCTGGAATTTTTGTAATTATAGGCCTAAGCATGACTTCGTTCTTATAAAACACAGAAGATAAAATGTGTCTCAGCAATGAAAGGGAGGGGACAGATGGGGAGAAAATTGACTTTTGGTAATTTTGTTTTCTTTTTTATTTTAAGCATTCGAACTGTCCTAAAATTTTAGAGCCAAATGTGGACCTTCTAATTGGCCAGCGTCATGCCAACTGCCTTTTTATAATGGAATTTTTGATAGAATCAAGCAACTGAAAACTCACTGGGAGTAGGAAGACCATGTATTTTAGGGTGAGCATTCTGGGTATTAAATAATACAAAATCGTTAACCACTGAATAACATTACAGAATTAGTCCTGATCGTGGAACTTCTGTTTCTGTACTCATTCTTCAATTTCAATAGTGGCTAACTCAATCTACTTAATAAAAGCTTATTTCTAAAACCCAGTGTTGGAATTATTTAGCATTAAGAGTGACTGTGATTGCTGTGTCTTACTTGTTTTCCTCTAGTGGTTTTACAGTGAGTATATGAGAGAAGAAGAGTGTTCTGCAGAGTCTACAGCAAATGATGTGGGATTCACTGCACGAGGCACAGCTAAGCACAGGGCTGAGAAGCAGCATGCATTTGCTGTGACTGTGCTGAGAGAGAGGCCAGAACTCGACAAGTTTCTGAGGCTATTCTAGGACTACAGTGGATTGTAGCATCCAGCTCAATCTTGAAGCCAAATGTAGAGCAGAGAGTTTGGTGTCCAGGGATACCCATGTTCACTGGGGTGGTTTATGTTCTGCCTTATTTTTCTTTGGTCTCTTTGGCAGGCCTCTTGTAGAGATCATGGCACAAACTCCTCTAGTCACTTGCTCTAGTAGTGTCCTCCAAGGCTTCAGTAGGACAGTTGTCCCATTTCCTTAACTTTGAAAAAACTTTGCAGCCAACACTACGAAAACAGACACTGTGGGATTGTTACCTCTAGTCAGAAACCTGATCATGCCATTGAAGCAGAAAACACTACTATTAGAGCAAGTCTGCTCTTGAGGGTTGCAGGGGAACAGGAAAGAGCATCGTGTGAGGATGGCTTCAGGATCTTCTGGGATTTTTTTGCTGGAGGGCAAGGGGTCAAGTCTCCATTTTGGAGTTGCAGGTTTTCTTAACTCTAGGTGAAGTGATCTGACTGGATAACAGTTTTTTTGTATTGAAACCTGGAATCAGTGCCTCACACCCAAAAAAACACCAAGAAATAGCAGAAAACAGACTGCAAAGCAGAGGCAGAACGCCCAGCCAGTTAAAAAAAGTTCGATACACAGAAACTCAGTGTTTTTCAGTCAATCAAGGACACTGATTAAATAAGAAGTTTCATGTTTTAAAGAACCCTGGTCAGAACAACTTCTAACATAAAACACTGAATGCAAACAGTAATCTTATGAGAAAAAAAAATTCCTCTCACCAGTTACTCCAAGCCACTGCTATACAACTGGAACAATTACAACTTTTCCGTCTCTCATTAAAAAATATCCCCATGAGCATTCTGAAAATAGTTGAGGTACTGCATTTCTACTTCATTTCAGACAGTAAAGAATAAACGTGTATGTCATAAGAATTAAATTTTGAGCATCAGGAGGAAATAAAAACTGGATTTGTATCAAGAAAGTGAGCCCTTTAGCCCAGCAATGACCTGATTCTCAGTACCTTGTAGCTCCAGGAAGTCTGGCTGAACATCAGAAAATCCAGTAGAAAACTTGCTGTTAATCTGTTCCTGTGAGAGTACTCCACAATTACAAGATGGTATTGATACAATAGTAGCTAACCTGGCAAACCACCCCCCAGCCGGATCTAACAGATTTAAGTTATGTACACTGGAACAGCTGTTACTCTGTGCTGCACAGACTAGAGCAAGACCACACAATCTTGTCTGCATTACATTATTACTTCAGAGAATCTGCATCTCAGAGTGATTGTGGGAAGCCAGTCTGTAATACCATCAACAAAGAAATGTAATGATATCAAAGCACTTGGGTTAAAGACTTGCAGCTTCTTCCCAGCCTGAGGAGTTGATGTCCCAGACACTACTTTGTCCTGCAAAGCTTTTGACTGAATGGAACATGTTTTGAAATAGGGTTTTTTTGAAGTATTTCAGCAAAGGGACTCAAAAGCTTCTACCACATTTTTGGCAATCAAGGTACTGTACTGAACTGCACCATCCTGACAACAGTTAAGAACCTCAGTGGACAAAAATTTCCACCAAATCATTATGCATGAAATGTGCATGTACTCTGCTGGCTGTCATGTAAAACATGCAGGCTCGCCACTCTCCTCCTGCTGTTATTCAACACCATCTACCAAACCTCCTCTCTTTAAATATTCACATCAAGTTGCAGAAACAACATGAAGAATTTCCACAGTGACTTACACAACAGTAAAGGGAAAATACATTAAGAAATTGATGCAGAAGTAATTGCAGGATTGTGTTTGGTAAAAGTGTATACAACGGCTAAAAATGTCATTAGAAAGTAGATGTAAGTTGGGATCTTTTATTTAAGTGGATAGCAACTTTTGTAAGAATCAAAAATAGTTAATTTCCACAATCCAGTCAGCACAAGTCTAGTATGTCATGTTCAAGTAAATACACAGCTAGACAGGTGAAAAAATAGCTTTTCTCAATATTTTTATTTAGTAAGTTTTGTTCTCAAGGCTGATATGCCCTCTCATGTTGAAAGATCTCATGTAGATGCTAACTAAGCTTTCCACTCATTTAAAAATACTGCAGTAGTATGAACTCACTATAAGCAAGTTGTCATGCTGTGATTTCCATTTATAGGCAGAAATGCATAGCATCATAGATTACCTGCATTAAAAATGTGCTAGATTTGGTTGCATCAGTGCAACAACAACGAGGTATCCAAGTGGCACAAATGTGGGTTTAAGGGTGAGTTCTAACTGGTGCACACATCTACCACTGGGACTTGCAGTACTGCAAGCAAACCTGGATGTAATTGAAAATTCTATGTTTGGGTTTTGATCACAAGACAAAAAAAAAAAAAAGTTATTTCTGTTAAAAGCAGCTGCAACTTTTATTTTTATAGACCAAAAATTAAGCCCCCCCACCCCCCGCATCATACACACACATAGAAAAGGCAAGACCATTGTAACCATTCAAGTGAAGGATATGGTGGGCAAACCTCCAGGACAGGCATCTCCTCAACACAGTTCATTCAGCACAGGTAATCCCACTCAAGTACTACAGTCTGTTTTTTGTTAAAAATCTCTACACACACGCATACGCACGCACACGCGCTCTCTGTGCATTGTTTCAGGTCACTCTACTGCATAATTAAAACAAGAATAAAGGTAATGAAAACATTGCCGTGATGCTCTTACAGCAACAGAGGTCTGAGGCACTCAGGGCAGAGAAGACATTTTCTGGTAAATTTGGGAGTAGATGAGTCCAGTTCTGTGAAGCACTAACCCCTTTCCCCCACCTAAATTCTGCAGTGCCAAGGGGAGCCAAGGGTATGCAGCACTTCGTGTTCTTGGATCTGTGGCAACAAATTCACCAGACATTTTGTAAGAGGTGTATTTTATGCCCATGATTGTATGATTTAATGCCTGTGTTGGCGTAAGTATTTCTTGTGTTACAGTGTGGTGTATGATGAAGTCTACAATGGGGTCTGAAATTTTTCATTACTGTTCAGAAGAAAAAATAACTTCCCTCAGCAGAGACACCAAAGATGATGGAAGGTAAATGGGCACGGAAAAAGAAAGGGCAGAGAAAAGAGAGGCTTAATCAATCCACACTCCTTAACTGTTTCCAGCTCTCCCTGACCCATTAACAAAATATAAAGGGGTATATGTACCAATGTTGCCTACTCTATACCCTGTCTGAGGAAAAAAAAAGATCAGTTTTCATAGCTGCCCCCCTAAGACTTTCCAAAAGCCTGAAACTCACTCAACCAGGGGGGGAAAAAAATGACCCGTTTAAAAATCACCAAAAGAAAATGAATACAGTGTTGGACATGTTTCATTTTCACACACTCAGACTTGTTCTAAGATACTTCACTGTAAGTCTTGCAAATCCAATCTCCCACAACTACTGTGGATGTACTTTTAAAAAATTCCCCACAGCTAACACATGTAGGGATCCCATGAATCATGGGATCTTTTTGGTTCTTGTTTCATTCCTTTATCTAGGCAAGTCTGATACATCAGTTTCACCAAGCTTTTGGTGCAGGAGGCTACCTGCAAGTACTGCTTCGACAAAAAGCAGTTTATTCCAGGGAGCTGCATATAAGACAGACTTTGTTAACTTCCCATCCTATCAAATCTCCAGCAAGAAAAACAAGTCCTGCCATTAACACAGTGTACCACCCACAGTGGCAAGCACTACAGAAGCCACCAGCAGAGATGGGGGCAGAATTAAAGGTAGCCCGCTCTTGTACGTGCGTGTCGTTCTCCCTTCTGCCCCCTTCTCAACTGATAAACAAACAAGGCCCAGAATAGTATCTGCAGAAGCAAGAGCAAGTCTTTGGAATAAGAAATGCGTAAAATCTCAGGTGCCACTCACAAAGAGTGATAGGGCACACTGAAATGGTGAAAAAACCTGGATCCCAAAATACCAAGTCCCAGTGGGAAAGCTTACCCACGCTTTTCTAGCTAATATCATGGTAGCAACAGAAGCAATTGTGGGCCTAATTGGAAGAAAGGTGCTAAAGAGATAATTGAAGAAAAAAGGAAAGTACAGCGTGAGTGTTGTAGGTAGGAGGAAAGCAGGAAATTCTTTAAATTCTCTGCTTTTGCAGACATTGGGTCAGGTTCTTGGAGATATTCCTCTTATCTACAATCACTGAGAAGAAAGTAAATGGTGAAATCTTTCTATTCTGTACTCTTAAAAAAATGCATAGTACAGGGGCAAAAAATACATATGTATTTCTCATTCTGATGCACCTGCTCAGTGTGGACTATCACTGGGTCATGAAGTGGGGGCGAATGCTGTCCAGGCGCCGGGTCAGGATCTCGCAGCCCGTGTCTGTGACCAGCAGTGTGTGTTCAAACTGTGCCGAGCGCTTCCCGTCCCTCGTCACCGCAGTCCAACCGTCGGGCCAGGTCTCGTCCTGCCAGCCACCTGAAAACAAAAAGCATCACTTCTTGCCAGTCTTTAAATAACAGGTATCAGTCCCCAAAGAGAAATTAAAAAAAAATGTATCAGCTCTACAGGATAGAACCAGCATCCTGTTCCATCACTACTTAAGAGCAAACAAGAGTAACCATTTTACTCTACCGCTAAATTGCTCACCTTCACAGATCATTGGTTCAATTGTAAATACATGACCTGGCTTCATGACTCCAACTGCCTTGTTTTCTGCAATAAGATAAAACATTCAAGTCAGAAAAAAGAATACCATGTTAGTAAATGAATGAATCCTTGTCCTAACAGAATACAACAGAAACACAGTAAAGTCAGAAAAGCCCTTCTGAGATGATCTGTTCACTTCTCCATTTTTATGTATACATAAAGATTTCCCTTTGTTCTTTCCTTCTCCCCATCCACCAACACTGTAATACTTACTCAAGAAGCTTAAAATTAATTGCTGTCTTTCTCTCCAACAACTGGAACTTCAACTCTAGTTCTATAAAAACATTAAATAAATACAATACAGGAATTTCTACACATTTCTATAATGGAAAAGCATAATTAAAAAACAACAGATGTAAGAAGCACTTAAGGTATTCAGATAAGGCTTGGAATCTCATTTGTTTGCATTGAGCCATTAGCGCCAATGAACTGTCAAAATGTGACAGTGGTTAAGTAATCCCATGATTCCATTTATGAAAGACACACTGCCCCCTCATTACCCTGGATAATTGGGTCATAGTGGTGTCAGTGATAATGCTGTGTTCCTTAACTAATATAAAATAGAGCATTTTGAGGCATACAGGACAATAACACAGAAACTTTTTGATGTTAAATGCATCAAAAATGCTTATGTGGAGGCACATGAACTGATGGACTGCATGACTGCAGGAGTGCAGTTTGACTTGAGAAAGGCTTCAGCCCATTTCCTCTGCCCTGTTTCACCTGGAAGGACAGCACAGTTCAGATGTAACTGAGCCTGAGAGTTGGAACAAACTCCGGAACTGCACAGGAACCATTAGTTCCCAGCTACTTTGCTGCTGTAGACAATTTACATTAATTTTACATCCCCCCATCTAACCTTAATTGTGTAAATTTATTATATTGCCTAAATCACCTAGAGGCTTTAAAAAATCTCAGAAATCAAGCTGCCACAACAGCAACAGAACATTTTTCTTAGAAAATGAGCTTTCTGCTTTTCAAACTCCTTTCAAAGTAGGCTAGAAATAAGCAGCAGCATTCTTTTTTATCCAAGAGGCTTTAAGTCCCTCAGATCTTTCCACTTTTCTTTTGCTGTGACTCTGTATTTTAGAAAAAGCACCCAGCATCTTTCTTTCTGGGAACAGACATATTTGCTAAATGAAAAAAAAAAAAAGTTCAAAGTTCCAAATAGCCAGGAAAGACAGAAATTTCCTTGGTCTTGGATTGGATTTTAATTGGTATAAAAAGTTCCCCACCTCCAAAGAATCCATATTTTCTTAATTTTACACAACAAAAAGTACATACCAGGAACTGATACCCTTTTACCCTGCAATTAACAGATTTTTCTCTGTTGTCAGAAAAAATAACGTAGGAAATGGACATGGAAAGTCAGGAATTGCTAGACTATATTCTATAACCATAACATGTGTTAAGGTTCATTAGGAGATGGGAAGATGGAGGTACCTGTCAGGTCTAAGGAAATAAGTGTCCTATTATCAGGGCAGCTTTACAGCTGAAGTGAGTGTGAACTTTTCATCACTGCTTCATGATGTTTACTCTGCCCTTAGTTGTCTGCTGGCACTTAAGCTTCCACCCTTTGCCTCTGTGGATTGTTCCTTAGTCTTGCTGGAAAAATCGTTACAGGGCCATGGACATTTCCAAAAACTACCACTATGTTCATTCCTTCTCTGCCACACACTCGGATGAAGCTTCCAGAAATACCAAATCACAACACTCAAATGAAGAAAACTGAAAGAAACAGGATCCAGATTCAGGCACAACACCCATCTATCCTATTCAAAGAGCTTTTCATTTGCATCTGTAAATGGCAGTAAGGTTTTGCTTAGAACTTCTAAGGAGAGAAACATTTGGCAGCTCCTGTTAGACAAGAATGTCTAAGGGAATTTAGCTGGGAATTCAGGCAATAACTTTGAGCACTTACCCATTACTGATGACACCTAACACTAACCATTAGTGCAGGCAGCTAATGCAAGCACAAGTTCATAAAGTATGCCACGGTCCAGAGTTAAAAAAAATATTTCTCAAGTGTCAAAATGCCATCCTGATGGCTCAAGTAATTGGGTGCATTCACTGCAAATCACTTCTTGTCTACAGGACAGCACAAAGGGAACGAATACTCACTGGCATAATGGGGTACGTTAGGAGCTGTATGGAAAAGTTTATGGATTCCATGTCCACAGTAGCTCCGAACCACTGAAAATCCATTTGCTTGAGCATGTTTCTGAATTATGTTCCCCAGTTCTCTGTACCGAACACCAGGTTTTACTGCAAAATTAGAGATACAGAAGGAAATTTAGAGAGCTTTCTTTCAACACAACTAACCATCAAACACCATCTTTGTAGCACTCATGGCTTGTGTGTCCATCTGTTCCAGTATGCAACTTCCTATGGTCACTTAATCCACTGAGTATGTATGTGAGTGCAGTAACTTGAGAGAGGGAGGAAATTGTCTCATATTAAAAAAACAACCCAAGAGACAGAAGTGTATTCTTGTGCTTTTTTCACAAGAATATTACTTTCTTCCTTTCATAGATGCAAGTGCTCACATTAAAAGGATGTCGAAGTTTGAAATTAAAAATAAAGGACTTCCCAAGTATTTGGTGAGCTCTCACACCCTGAGCTGCAGTGCTTCTTGCAATGAATGTATGAACTATATTTTAATATACACTTATGCCTCTACTATGTGAAAAATGCACACAAAGGACTGATATTTAGAAAAACAATTAAAAGAAAATGGGTGTCCCTACTATTAGACAAGATTCTCAGCGACAATGCTACAGCAAATAAGAATTTTCATATTCAGGTTTAATTTTTCTGACAATCCCTTTAGGAAGCCTTTCAAGATGAAGAGTTTGAAACATGAAAATGGTGTGAGAAATTCCCTTTGAGCACTTAGACAAGGGAGTAATAATACCATAAAAGCAACAATGTTTCGTCATTCAGCTAATGAAAATTCATACCAAAAACAACCTTGAGCCCCTTAAAACAAAATTTCAAGCTTTTCCAAGACTATTCCAAACTCCCTGAATATATGCTATTCCTTCAGGAGCCAGATGTGTGGTTGTGTGGAGCCATCTTTGAAGCAGAGTTCACATCAAGCTAAAACTTTATGTGAAGCAACCTTTAGTTCAATTCTCTGCTAATGTAAGAGACTACAACTGAAACCCCTAAGCTGAATTTACAGAAAATAACAAGAAACTCGTATTACTGGAATATACATGCTTCCTCAAAAATTAAAAAGGGCATGGTGGGGAAGAGATTAATCTGTTGCATTTGTGCTAAATAGCTGTGAAGTATGAGCCTGACAGCACATGCAACTCATTTCGATGGAGCAAGGAGTCCTGTGCTTCTCTCTCATACAGCCCCCCCAGCTAGAGCCCTGGTGGTCCAACACCAAGACTTCAAGATGATTTAAAGAGGGGGGAGGTGACCCCCTTTTAATAGCTGACACACTTGCTGCTGGAATTCCTATTCAGATCCAATGTCTAAAACCCTTTAAAACACATTACAGCATCTAAAAATTGGTAAAAAAGACTTACAGTGAGAATTTCAATCTCACTGTTATGAACACAGGGAAATTTCTGTCACAGTTTCTACATCAAGGGCAGGATACAAAGGATAAGAGACAACACATGTAACTTTTGCTATAAAAAAGTACAGGACCAAAGACACACACTGTTCTGGTTTAGCTCTGAAAAACAAACTGGTCATTTCAGAACAGCAATCTCACATAAACAGGTCATCTTTATTCTTCACAGCGCAACCTGGCAGCATTTTCTTGATCACACAATGGATACACAAGACATCATTCTTACAGATTTTTGTCTTTTCAGCTCGACTAGCTATCTCCAAATTATGTTCATTTTAATTTATTTTATTTACATTTACTTTTGACTAAACTCAAGTTTAAAGCCTTACTACATAGCACCCTAAACTTCAATCTTCAGAGGCCATGAAGTGATTAAATTGTAATGGGGATTTAAAAAAGCTGCAGCGTATAAAGGATACAGAAGGTACAAGTATTTCCATGGACTTGAGAAATTCATCTTTTGTTTTCTGAAGTTGAACAGAATATTCTACAGTGACCTTTTGATCTCACTGTATGTCTCGATGCAGCTGCCCCAACTGTTAACTAAGCAAGATAATTAAAGTTCTGTAGGTACTGAAGGATATGTATCTGTCTTCTCTGGCACACTCCCACAGGAAATCAAGAGCTCGTAACCAGCTTTATGAAATAACCATCAGGTTTGGCAGGGCTAAAGAGATACATGTTTAAGCGTTCACACAGTGTTTTACCTTAGCAGAGTCACTGTGCAAAAAATATACAAAATATAAAAAAATATACAAAATATACAAATTATAAAAGTAGGCTTTTCCAAAGCATCCTTTGTTTGCTACATTCTCTAAGTTACTCAGATCAAGGATGTCATACTCATCAGTGGTCAAAAAAAGGCTGTTTCCATGTCAATGTCATCCACGGATCAGCTCAGCATCAAATACATTTTCCTCATCAGCCCACATTTAAAAAGAAGTTGCAGCCACCACTCACAGAACTGTGCCATTTGAAGGATCGCTGCTTTACACAACAGCCATCATCAGCTGGTGACAACTTCTGTGTGCTGCAGCAGAAGTCACTCTGAGAAGTGGCAATATGAGCAAGCATGTTTGAGAAACAAAACCTTCATGCTTCAGGCATGTTTTACCTGCATCGATGGCTTGCATCAGGCACTCATAAGTTGTTTGGACAAGCCTCCTGGCACCCTCGTCCACCTCCCCAACATAAAATGTCTCGTTCAGATCTCCGTGGTAGCCATTGCGATAGACGGTGATATCCACTGCAAACAACAGCAGACATGGGAAATCAGCACTCTGATCCTCACCTCCTGCCTCTTGATTTGTGAAAGAGCCAACATGTAAAAATGGGGGATTCTAACTGTGATTACTTCACAAGAATTCTGTAAGAAAACTCTTCCAACAGAATCAATTCATTCATTCTTATCCTGTAGATTCTATATAATAATTTTAAGTTAGTGTTTCACTGGTGAACAGTTTGATCTAATGAAATAAAAGAGGGAGGGGGAGGAAAACAATCCCCCAACAATGCAACACAGACTCGGCAAACTACCATTGGTTTTTTAGGTAAATATAAAAAGGGGAAAGAGAAGCTCTTTGCTCCATGGTGATTTACCTGGTCAAAGTACTTTCTTAGAATTAATTCCTGCACTAATAGGGGGGAATTAAATTATAAAAGGTATGTAATCACAGTTTTACATATCAAGTTGTCTTGCTGTGGCAGAATGGGAACTTTTGTTTCTAAGTCTTTGTCAGACAGCTGATAGGTCTAATAGCTGCTAGATCACCAAACCCACTGGAAGAGTTATTGCTATGCTATTCATGAAGAAACCCACACCCAAATCTTCTCACAGGTAAACAGTCATGAAGGAAACTGTAGTGAACAGTAATACTTTAGGAATATCGCACATAAGCTGCTGAGAGAGACCAATACAATCTTGATAGGAAGATGTGGGAAAACACACTTTAGTATCAACAACTAGACATGACTTGAGAGTACCTTCTGGATGACATGTTCCTGTGATTCAAAAAACCTGGTTTGGTCTTTAGCATGGCTTCCAGGCTAAAAGTTTTATATAAAGAAAAAGACAGATGCTTCCTTTTAATTGTTCTTTGGTACATTCCAAGGTACCTTTTCTATCCCTCCTTATAACCAGTTTTGGTTCTCCTTTTCAAGAGGCTTTTGAGCCACTACCTTCCAGAAAGGAAGCCCAGTTCTTTCTCATTGTAACAAAGCAGAAGGCTCGAAGCTTGATCAAGTGCAGGAATGTGGACAAAGGTATGACTAAAGCCTCTTACAGAAGGTGTTCTCCAGGGCTGAGGTACAGCCTTGGCATGCAAACAGCAGAGAGGTAAAGGCCCCATGTAGATGAAGCCAACCATGTTGATTAGAAGGCTGGAGCATTTCTTCAATTAGAAGAAGCTGAGAGAATTCAGATTGTTCAGCCTGGAAAATAAAAAGCTTTGGGGTGACTTAATTGTGGCTTTCCAGCACCTGACAGGAGCCAAGAAGAAAGACAGAGAAGAACTTTTACAAGAGCAAGTAGGGACAGGACAAGGAGGAACAGATTCAAACTGAGAGAGAGTAGGTTTAGATTAGACACTAAACAACAATTCTTCATGGTGAGAGTGGTGAGGCACTGGTTTCCCGGTGAAACTGTGGATGCCCCATTCCTGGAAATGTTCAAGGTTAGGCTGAATGGGGCTTTGAGCAACCTGGTTTATATTAAAAGTATCCCTGACAACAGCACAAGGGTGGAACCCAGATGATCTTTAAGGTCCCTTTCAACCCAAACCATAATTCTATGAGTTGGGCTTCTCACACTGGACTCCAGCAATGCCAGAATAGCTGGCAATAATAAAGAGCTGTGCAAAGACATCATCTTTGAAATTAAAATAAGATAAAGGAAATATGGCATACATTGTTACATGTACCCTACAAGCTCAGAGCTTTCAACCTGACTACACCTCATCCAGACAGGGGCAGCAATCATGACACTTGTTCTGAACAGGCTGCTATCCACAGCACTGAGGTGTAGACTTAGTAGCTATTATTACAAGCTAATATGTATCAAATATCTGATAATTTAAAAATATTACAATCTGCTTCTAGAGGTAGGTGAAACTTTAGCATACACTATGTATTTATTTACATGTAAGAGAAAAGCAAACTAATGCAATAATCAAAGGTGCAAACATTTGTACAAAAAAAGCATCATTAATTTTTACTGCCAAACCAGAAGAAATGGAAGTCAAAAGAAGAGATGGTCAAATAATTTATAAAATTATCTCTCACCACTCAAGAAGGCCTGAGTACCTTGAGTATCAAGAACAAAACGCAGCTGGTATTGTTAGACTGTGAGATGCTCAAAAAAAGATAACATGCACCTATACAATGCTTCCACATTAGGACCCTTTAAAGTCATAATAATTATCATGAGCATAGCAAAATTTTAAGAATCTAGAGCCATCTAATCAAGAATTCACTCAGAACTAACCCAGCTGAATAAGTCAATATACATTTTATTCACTATATATACAGTCTGGAACAACTGGAATCTAGCCCACGAGTGGAATACTCAGGCACTATACTAATGCACAGATCAGGGTAGAAGAATTATAGAGCTCTTAAAATGGACTGAAATTTTGAAATTATTTTATTAAATAAATTCATTAATTGAAGTATGTAAAAAGCAGAGGTAAATGAGAACAACCTAACTGGTAAATGAGAACAAAAGTCTCTCTTAATAAGCTACTCCAATGATGTTGCCTGCTTCTGAAACCTCACCGTACTGCATGGTTTAAATGCACAGAGGGTAGAAATGTTTAAGGTTAATTTTCACAGCACTTACCATTAACAATATCTCCCTCCTGCAACGGCCTCCTGTCAGGAATTCCATGACAGATCACTTCATTCACTGACGTACAACATGACTTGGGGAAATTATAATAATTCAAAGGGGAAGGATAACAATTCCTTGCAATACAAGCCTAAATAGAGAAGGTACAATTTACACCAAAAAGCTTTGTACAAAGAAAAACACAGAAAAAAGCATGTGTGCAATAGCTTTACAGTAAGACCGACAGGCTGAAAAGCAGTGACTCTTAAAAATAAGATTCTTCAAGCATTTCTTGGCAGTGTTTTCGCTATACCTTGCATTTCTTACCAGGAAGAAATTAAAGCTTCTTTAATTTTGTTTCTACTCACGTTCATGTTTGACTGTGAATGCTGAGATATTCAGGTTTGAAACAATGCATGGCAATATTTATTCAGTTTTAAAAAGTAATTTTCAATTACTGCTTTTAAGCACCCAGTCCAAGATTTTTGCAAGACACACAAGCTGAACAAAATAATATTTAGCACTACTCTTCCCCCCAGCTTTAAAACCTTAAGCTGCTTCCCTTGCACTGTAATAACCTTTTAGTATTTTTGCAAAACTGACACGTTTCATATACTTACACATACATACATACATACACATACTGAGCATAGTACTGAAAAAAAAGTTGTGCTAATTTTTTTTCTTTTTTTAAATAATACTGTTTTTAAAACTGCAAAATACCAACGAGGGGTATCAGTCAGTGGCAGCAACCTGCCAAAGTTTCCATAAACCGCTGAGGAGGGGTAACTCCATGTTAACTACTAATTGTTCATGCTATACTTTATGCCTAAGCAAGAAGTTTGGTGTTTAATGCAGTTCAATAGAAGTCTCCAGCCTAATAAAAGCAGGCAATCTTGGCTCAACAGCTGCACAGATAAAAAGAACCAGAAAGCTCTCTAACAAACCTACCTATACCAAAATTGTTGCCTTTCCCACAATGGACAGAAGTAGCCTCAAGTACCAGACTACATGATTCATTGAAAAGACAGCAAAGAAAAAAATTATGCAATTCAAATATCTATGTAAAGTTAAGGCAGGAAGATTCTTGAACATGTCTTTTGAACCCTTCACTGGACTATGGCTTTATTTTGTCAGATTGCATCAAACATCTTGTTTCAGTTCTCTCTGAGGCATCTCAGTTCTGATTCCCAATCATAAATAATTTAACTTTCTCCTCTATATGTCTTAACCAACCACAGAGAGTACAAGTCCATGGCCTACATACGGTGTTTTTATATAATGGTATCTGTGGAGAGAAAATGTTTTAGAAAAAAGAAAATAATATGATGTTAACTGAGAAAGCAAGTGAAGAAACTTAGAAGAAATCTGAGGCCAGAAATACGGAAGCAGCTGATAGAGAGAGAGGCCCAGGAGTTCCTAAATCACTTTGAACCCACCATTGCCATCTGCACTACCCACCAGCTTCAAACTGGGAAACAGTTTGAAATAAAGAAATGGAATTCATGCAACTAAGAAAACCACACAATCGTCATTTGAAAATAATGAGATAGAAGAAAACACTTATAAACACCAGAAGAATAATAAACTAATCTTACTAAATGGACAGCATGATCAATTTCTTCAGTAGTTACTCCTGGTTTCACCATCATGGCAGCAACATCCAATACTTCTCTAGCAAGCTGCAAATGAAACAATTTAAAATTTAAAATAGATTTAAAATTGACCTATTGTCTTAATTTATGTTGATTTAAAATAGACCAGGACTATTCTCTACATGATTCATAACCCATTTTTGACAGCTATGCTGAGATCACCAGGAAAGCTGTGTGTAGTTGGGCTCTAGAAAGACTTTGATATAGCTCCAGGTCAAGTACTCAGCCATGTCTGTAAGAGCTGAAAATACCCCAGTTAAGGTTTGGACCACATTTTCCTTGAATGCCATAATCTTAAATCAGACTACCTAAATATATTTCAAAGTCTGACTTTATGCACAAGGAAGTGACTACAATTGAACAGCTCTTTTTCAAAAATCGTTAGGGATGGGGCTTTGTTTTGATTTTTAGTTTTTACTTAGTACCAACTCCAGGAGAGGAAAAAATTCTCATTTATGCACTATAAAACATATTCTTAAGAGTAACAACGTGTCAGTCACAGACTGTCTTACTACTAATAACAAATGTAGGAAACAGATAAAAGTCATCCTTCTGCTCGCAAAATACATTACTGGGAATTGGGGTCAAAAGAAGAGAAAAAGCCAAAAAATATCAAGCTTCCCAAACTATTTTTCAGTGCTCTAAAGTGATATAATAATGTGCTGTGACAAAGTTGTAAAATCATTATAGATTTTTAAAGAATGTAAAGGCACCTTGCAAGAAAAATCAAAACCCCCTTACCCTACACACTACTCGCATCCCTTCTATATCCTCAGATGACAGTATTTTTATTTGAGAGGTTCCTTTTAAAGCTTGTTCTGATTCAGACATTCCTGAAAAGGAAAAAGGGAGAAGATTAAAAAAATAAAGAAAAAAACCCAGGTTATATAGGGTGATTATTGCTACACATATCCAATCCAGGGACTTCCTTAGTTTACCAAGAGCAACAGAAGTACAGACTTTCTCACCATAGCCCAAAGTAAAAAACCCACCAAGCCATAGTATTATCATCATTATTCAGATTAACTGAAATTCATAAGTCCTGCACAATACCATAATGCCCCACATGCTCAGGAAGCCCATTCACTTACTGCATAAAACCATCATGTCCAGTTAGTCAAAATACAGTCTTAAGTATCAGGTTTACAAGGAAGTTATTTTATTCATAGAAAATAATTTTTCAGCTGCTCTTAGAAAATAATTAGTGAAAATTACATTCTAAAACAGTCATAAAGGGTTATATGAGATTGGGAATATATCTGGTCATACTACTGCAATAATCAGCCGACAAAAACATGAAAATTCTTCCTACCAAAGTCTGTGAAATCTCAGCATTATAGATGAGCAACCCTTTAAAATCCAGTATTTTATGTTGTTTTAATATTTACACTCTTTAAAAAATAGCTATGAAATACCTTAAGATTAACCTTAATGCTAAGAGACTTTATAGCAGCCTTTTGGGGAAATGCAAAGCTCCAGTACTGGTATAAAAAGGGGAAAATACCAAAACAATCCAATAAGCAAGTAATTTTGAATGCATTCCCTCTCTCTCCAAAAACAGCTGGAACTCATACACCAGTTTTGTTTTGGGGGATGCATACTGCAAGGTTTTCTTGGTTTTGTTGTACAATAATACATTTTCATCAGATATACTGATGCCACAGAGAATGGTTCAGCAGGATTCATCTGCGGCAGTCAACTGATTGCTGTTTGTTATCAAATTAACAACAGAACTAGGACTTTTATGTTTGAGATAACAAAACCCCAAAACCAAATTAACTAACTCTTAATTTCCTGTACACATTTGAAAGACAACCCATTACAAACTCTGAACTTCCAAAAAATACTTGCAACCATGATTTTTTAAAATTCAGTAAGTTACTGTGAGGAAGAAGTAAAGTGAGAACAGATATAAGAGGTTCCCTTCTCCATTAACTCCTTGATGCTTTAAAGGCTTTTTCAATGAAAAGGAAAATAGAGAGCAAACATAACACTCATAATTATGATTTGTTTCATGTTACCTAGTGGGTGATCAGCATAATCTGGTCTCTGAATATAACTTGGCACAGGTCTTGTTGGTGTCTAAATAAATCATAGGCAAAGATGGTTAGGTTGCAAGAACACTTATTACAGTCACAGAAAAATACAATATGAAATAAGACATATTTCATGTGAAATATGGCTAAGTCCATTTAGAAAAAGTTGCAAAGTATGTAAACACTCCAAAAGTTCCAAGTTTCATTCCCAAACATTCTGTTACTCTCTATTGCTATCATATTATACAACTTTTAACAGCCAACTGCACAGCTTTGTAAAAATCAGATTTTTATTGTCAAGTGAATCAAGCTGGTTTTATAATGTATTATGCCTTACTGTAGTGCTTTTTTTCTGCTGCTTTCCAGACTCCATGTGCACTGGGTCCAAATACATCCCTCTTCTCTTTAGCAAGATTGCTACTTCTGATCATCACCTTAGTCAAAATCTCTAATTTCATTTGCATCAGTCTCACAGCAGACACAAGACAAAAAAGCCAATGTTCAGAGATAACACAATTAAATTACTTAGCCAGTGAAATATCCCAAATACCTTTTTCTCCAACAACACTAACAAACACACGTGGGCTCAGGCTCTTCTAATCTGTTCTCTAATGAGCTTGTAACAGATGGAGAAGACTAGAAGAGGATACCACTGGGGCAGCTTTTCTAGTACAGGCCAATTAGAAAAGACAAATGTAAAGAAAATGCCATTATTGCTGTAAAAAAAGCTTCAGCTTATTCCATGTACAAACTTGTACCAATTTAAAAATACAGTTACGTCTGTATGTACATATATATATACACACAGTTATATGTCATCTTCTAAAAGCACCTTTCACGACCAAAGATCTTACTGACCTCTGTTGTTCTTCACCATGCCAGTGCTGGAGATTACTGTAACCTCTGTTCTTTCAGCTGTTCACCAGTTCACTCACCAGGTTATTTTAAACCACTTACATAATATAATATAAAACCATTTATTTTAATTCTAAATTAGTTACCTGAGCTTTTCAGAAACAGACTGCTCCGTAACTGGCAAGGACAACAAACAGCGAGGAGACATCATCTGAACTAGCAGTAGCTTTTTTGCAGAATAAATGTCACAGTGTACATCCAAAAGGTATGAGCTTAAGCCTGTTACTGATGCTCATAGGCGCTCGCTTAATTATAAATATACCAGGAAATAGAACAAGTTAAACTAAAATGAACTACAAATAGGACAGCTATGCATGTCCTTGCAATTGGGCTCAGATCAAAAAGCTCTCCTCTCTCAGCTGAAATGTGGGAGTTCATCAGGTCAGGGGTGATCCATTAGTTGCTACAGAACATGGCAGTGCTGGAGTAGAGTGGCACCTCTTGCTTACCAATGGATAGTGTGGCCTGAGTTTCCCCGTGTATCGATAACCAGACCAGGGATTTGTGTTAACATCGCCTTCCAGGCTCCAGGAGGAAACTTCACGCTTAGCTTTTTCATCTTCTGAAAAGACAAGAAAAAGGGGGGAAAAAGTTGCAGCAGCAAAATCTGTCCTACTAAGAATGAGAACTGTGGGGTCTAGAAAGTGCCTTAGAAGTGCGTAAGTCTAGATCCGACTGTCTGGCATTTTATATACTGATACATGAAAGCGTAAGTAGCAGTTATTATTTTGTAGTGTCCATTCCAAATTCACATTCTTCCTACCCTATTCAATAGCAAACTGGGAAATGTCAGGACTGAATACACAAAGGAAGTGTAGTAATTAAGTTGTTCCTCATTTGTAGTTTTATAACACAGCTCTTGTTTTCATTCCTGGGAAAAAAGCCTGTTTCTAGAGAGGAACTCACCATCCCTTCAATCAAAACCTTTGCACTGCAGATGAACGTTCCTTTCTTGTGATCTCCCTTAGCACCCAGTGACCAAAATGACCTGAGGTGGGAAGGAGGCCATCCAAAGGTGGAAGGGAGGCCATTCAAGTGTCAGGCTCAACACATGGAGGCTGCGACCCCTCCAGAGCTTATAAAGAGACCGCAAGTCCTGCCACTTCTGCAGTTCAGAACAAGCACTGCTCACACCTTAGAAGATGGTCCCAAACTGCTGAAGCTTCCCAGCTCTCTGAACCTTGTGAAATTCATGTCTGACATGGTCCAATGACTGACTTCATCCACAAATAACACATTCTTACGAGGGCAAATTGAAGGTGTTTACATAAAGGCTTGAAACAAGCAGATCCTGAGCAATACCAAAATGAGAAGCATTTACTCAGAAAGAGAAGGCAAGGGTTAAGAGAGAGCGTGGTAACATTAATCTTTAACTCATAACTGGATAACTTGTTTGTTTTATCTTTTTATATCTCAGAAGGATGAAGAGGCAGTAAAAGGTCTGCCATTGCAAGCCCTTATGTCAATTCCTCAGAGCCTCTGTGGCTGACATCTGAGCCATCTGCTCAAATGACATTCAGTTCAGATGAAACTGAGAAATAACAATTTAAAAGTCCAAAGCTTTTCACATTCACACAAATTAACAGGCTACAGAATGCCAAGTGTGAACTATTAGAACCCTATACTGGGAAGGCAGAAAGAAGAAAAACATTTGTAACTGTCTCTACTACTCCAACCTATTTACCATTCAACGTTTATCATGGAAAAAGAAGCTTTACTGGGTTTTAGGAAAGGTGGTAAATTATTTGAGGATGTGAGTTTCTGCCATATCACTTTTTAATCCTACTTCTCTTTTCAGCAGGGCTTAATGACGATAGGCGGGATGGTGACAGGGAGGAGGCAAGGGGGCAGAACTGAGGTCTGCCCTCTCCTCTTTGGTTTAGACTCATGGACTATTTTCACTACTCAGATAAGGCAGAATCTACCAGTCTCCTAGTATTTATGTGCCAGAGCTACCAGCTGTCACTAAGGCACACAGATATTCTTACTACCTTGAACTGAACTCAGCAAAATCCTAGCTATGATACATCCTCTATCAGTGGCTGCACCATGCACACAAGCATTCTCCCTTTTTTTCCAAAAATGTACAGAACAGCTGCACTCTGACTCACCTGTGTTCCAGCAAGTGTCTAATCACAAAGACTTTGCAAGAACCTTTCCCACTGCACTGCCTTTGACTGCATTAGACATCAAAATGCTATGAAGGAACACTGCTTTACAATAGTGAGTTATTATTCTCCTTGTCCTTTATTTCAGCACCCCTCTTTCTGTGTTCATACACCTGGCAACATAGCTCAAGCAATAATTCATGCAAATACAAAAGTGAATAGAAGCAAACAGTGGTGTGAACCTCTGCCCCTGAAATTTTACACGGCACTTTCAACTGTCGGGAACTGGACAAAATTTCAGATGTGCATCATACAGTGCTAAGTATCTTGGGAAAAAAACCCAATACCATTCCTAGGAGAGCAGCACAGAGCAGCTGAGGCTGGAAGGGACTTCTGGAGGTCATCTGGTTTGATCCCCAGCTCAAGCAAGGCCACCTAGAGCTCACTGCACAGGACAAAACCAATTCAAAGCAATATGAAAACGCATTTGAAAAGTAATGTACTTACTTGCTTTCTTGTGTAACAACTTGTGGGTGGCCCAGCTTCCCTTAAAGCATTCCTAGAATTGCAAACGAAATGTATAAATACATGTTTTAAGCAGTATTTACATGGACAGATATGCCAACATGACAAAATAGAGAAGTAAATGTATTTTAAAAGGAAACTGGAAGACTGTTTTTATTAACCCTGGTAGCAATATGCAGTAAATGCTACTGTAACTGCTAGTCTTAGCAATAGAAAATATTACATTCAAAAGTTTATGAACCAGAATAAGCAGAAAAAGCACAGCCAAACAGACAGCACCCATGGCAGTGAAATACACTGATATAATCCTATATATTAATGACCCTTTATCATTTTAATAAGTAACTAAACACCATGGTGGCTGCAGGTTGGCTGAAACAGTCTGTATCTGTAGCTGATCTTACAGCGCTGCAGCGAGCAGCAAGGTCCTCGACAAGAAGCCATCTCCTCCTGCTAATTGCATCCCTTCTGTCTCCTGCTACAGAACAGGAAAGCAAGAGAGGCCAATTAGCACAACCACAGGGGAACTAATAAAGTAGACTAAAGGGCAGAAATGAGGGCTACTGAATGAAAATAGGAAATTGAAAAAACAATATTGAGAAAGTTGAAATGGAAATCAAGAAAAGAGTGACTGTGGAGTAGTTTAGTCTTTTCTCTTCTTCCCAAACACAAGTAGAGCAGTTCATGCAAGGAACAAAGAATCAGCAAAGGGGCAGATGGAAATGGCTAGCAGCTGAAGAGTAAAGAAGGACTAAGATGAAGAAAAGACATGAAAGAAAATAAAAGAGATGTAAGTAAAAAAGCCACAGAAGGCAGCATTAAAGGTGATCCTTTAAGCTGCTAATTAGCAAATTACTTGGGTTTGTAGCAGAAATTCTAAATCAATGGCTATGTGCACTCAAAACACCCATTAAGAAACTACTAATTCCAATCACTGACAATTACAGCTAAATTTCTGGAGGCAGGAAGCAAACTGTTTTTAAGGAAAAACAATACTAGTGCTGAATCATCATTGTAAAACCCCTATCCAGAGCCAACAACTGATTCAACCTAAAGTATACAAAACTCAACCAGTCCAAGACAACACATCTGCACACTAAGCCCAGCTTGTGACTTTATACTCTTGCTTCAGGGTTGCTCTTGAGCCCTCTGAGCTGTTTGTTTCTGTTGAGCCACCTTCTCCCTCCTCCCTCATTAGTCTTGCAAGCAGTAGTTACCAAAGTGTGCCCACAAACACCCAGTACAGTGGTGCACAGGTACACCTAGGTTCAAAGAGACCCTGCTGTGTGTGTGCTGTTCCCCTCATGACCAGAACCAGTTGCTCATTGTGTTCTGCTACCCCACACACCAGGAGTGACTGCACTGCCAGGGGCTCTGAAACCAACACTTCCGATGACCGGAGAGAACATCACTTCCAACAGCAGCCCAAGGTTTGGTCACACTTGTATAACCCACAGCACACAAAGACCTTTGCACTGCACTCTTCTCTGCTGGGGAGCAGGGAGAAAAGGAACAGGTTTTAACTGAGGCCTGCTTTAGGGGAAAAAAAAATATAAAAATGCTATTTCAAGGACACTAGAAGCACCAGTACGGTTTTTTTAATCCCCTTTCAAACACAAGGTCTTTGTTCTGAAGCATAAGAAGGATTACACAACTAAGGACTTAGAGCAACTACCAAGTCTGCAAACTTAGAATCCACTTTTTTTAATGTAAAGGAGTCTTTGGGGAAGGAAGACATACGTCAGCTTTGGTAATTACTGACTGTAGTTCATTCTCTGCTTTCCCATTCAATTTTGGGGGCTGTTCTCCAATGCCCTTGCTTTGTCCTACACCAACAGCCTTTCCTCTTTGCTGGCCCATAACCAGAAAACACCAGGCAAACACAGCACTAGGGACAGTATCATAAACCTCAGAGGCTCCATTTTGGCTTTTTATTTCCTGCAGCTGTGGACAACCTAAGATGATTCTGCGTAAGGCTGCCATATGCCAAAGCTTTCCCAAACATGTTTCCCAGATTTTTCTTGCCATTTATCTCCAGAGGAGCAGTAGCTCTGCCAGAACTCCTGGGGCACAGCTCCAAAGCTGCTGTACCCCGAGACAACCCAGACAAGTGCATCATGTGCACATCCATCAACTGCAACACACAGTAAGTCTGATGCATTTTTGTGAGCAGGGGCTGTTACAAGTGCAATGTACAATCAAAGAATTTCTCTGCCTTGGTCTGACACTTCTGGAAGGCACTCAGAGCTGCAGCACACATGCTGCAAATCCACCTACAGCCCATCTATTTTGTGTAGGATCAGTCATACGTTTCCTGCAAGTGCTGGACTTACCCGGTACATACAAATTATTTATATTCAACAACCTACTGCACAAGCACCACACTGCACATGACTGCAGAGCTCCGCCTTGGCAATTCCACATAAAAATATGGCAGCTGGCATCTCACTGGTTGGAGAATCACAACTCTGGTAACAAAGCACTGCCAAAGTACCACTGCACATTGCAAACACCCTCACCTTCTATACCACAGACTTCTCAACAAGCTATGGAAGAAATCTCCTCTTTCTCTCCATCTGAGCCACATTTTGGAGTATTTTCTGGAGAAAATTACGCTTTTCACTGAGCCTTCTCCTGAGACATCTACTTCAATCTTGCTATTACCATTCCTGTCTCTTAATAATTCTTTTGTTTCTATGCCCTACCCAGGTCAGGATAGAAACTTTTCAATGACTAAATAAACAAAATCCAGGGAAAATGTATTCAGGGTGACTTTTAATATTAAAATGAAGAAAATAAAGATTTATTTTTTTTCCAGATACAGTGAAAAAAGGAACATGTAACACTGCATGGCTGTATTTTAAAACATCTATTTAAATAGCTTCAGGGGGACAGTACACAGGAACAATATGAATAAGTTTCTTGGAAGACTTCCTGGGTTTCATTTCAAGCACTACATTATCCATTAGCATGCCTGATATTAATATCCCCACCCTTCTCACCTAAAGCATTTTTCTTTTTATTGCATGTGACTTTTATACCTCAATCCAGACAGACATAGAAACACGGAAGAGGACTGTACAAGAAGAGAGGTCAAATGTACAACAAAAAAGAAAGCAGAGGGGTAATCCTTGTCTTGTTTAGAGCAATCCTCGGTACAACTATTCAATCAGTAATAAAAATATAAATGTGCCTTCTAGACAAAGGCTGTCAACATACTGAAACCTTTAACAACATTTCTGGCTTCAAGACATTCTTAAGCCAATTCCACTGGTTTTGTGTTTAGGGCCAATTTCAACCCGGTGCTCACCAGAATATATCAAAAGGTAACCAAAGGCACAATCAGCGTTACCATTTGGAAAGATGTTGGATCCCCTTGTGGAAGCTGTGTTATTTCTGAAAATTATTTTTACCTTAAGGACTCACCCAATATCAACAGAATCATGCAGCACAGCAGCATTTGTTTTATAGTATGGTGTATTTTCACTATGAACACACTGATCACTACCAAATACCTTGAGGTTTTTGGTTTTTTTTTTAATTAACCATTGAAAGACCAAAACCCTTTAAAACAGTTATTGAAGTAATTAGGGGAAAAAAATTTGTGCTATGTTTATTGTCATCTTTACAACAATAACAGAAAGTTTCTTATTCATTCAGTTCATGTATGCATATGATATGACTAAGAGGTGGGAAAGTACAGCCAACTGCAAATTCCAGAGGAGAAAAGGATGCTCAATCAAGATTAGGACATTACTGCACCACAAACTTCCATACAGCACAGATATAACAAACTAGATTTAAATAAGCTACCCACAGACAGGGATGTCCCACCCCTGGATGTGTTCACAGCCAGTATGGATGGAGCTCTCAACAACCTGGTCTAGTTGTTCAGTTTTCTAGTTGGGAAAATGTCCCCACCCATGGCAGGGAGTTGGAACTAGATGGTCTTTAAGGTCCCTTCCAAGCCAGGCCATTCTGTATCCAAGCCCAGGAAGCATAGGAGAGAATTCAAGCTGATAGACTGTGTTTCTGAACTGCCTTTGCCTGGGAGCAGTTCATTTCAAGTTAGCTCTGGCACCCCCTCTGTCAGCACTCCAACTTGTGTCCAACTTCCACCGAACTACCCTCTCCATCATCTACAGTCATCATATAGAGCCATTGTGACGAATTTAAAAAAATACCTACTTTATAGGAAAAAAAAAAAGGATAGTTGGAATCAAGACTGTGAGGACAGACTGTCTCTTTGCATGTCATTATACCTGGAATTGCAATGGACAAACACCTAAGAAACCGTGCCAAACAGAACACTGTATTTAAAAATATTCTGAGCAATCTTTTTAACAGAATTTACAAATGTCCTTTAGAATGTAAAACTGTCTGGGGCTTAACCTGAGACCATACCATTTTGCATAATGAGAACTCATTTTTAACCAAATACCTTGAAGGCATGCAAAACAGAAGACAAAAAAAGAACCCTGATGTACAGGATTTTGCTTAATAGCAGGCTATCGGTTATATATATATATATATTAAATACAGTACGGATTAACTCACATTTTATCCATAAGTACAAATATGTTGAAGTGTTAATACATTTGATGTTATATTAAACAGCTGACTCTTTTCAGCATGCTGAAATCCTTCTAAGGCAGTACAAGCCCACAGAGACGGCCTCTGGTCCAAAAAACTTCGTACAAAATTCCCAAACTAGCCTAAGCAGCACACATGAATAGACAGTTTTTCAGAAGAGTCAAATATGTGTTTTCAGATTCAGCTCCAAGAGAAGTACCTACATGCAGAACCTTGGTATCAGCAGGGTTGATCGACTTTCTCCTTCATCTAAGACCTGATCTTATCCTGAGACTCCTGGATCCCTCGTGATCGAGCCCTTCCTTTGAGGAAGGGACTGCATTTTGCAGCTCTTCAGATTTACAGAAATATACAACTGATTTTTGAGAGTATCGTGAAGGAGCAACAGACCAGAGGAATTCCAACTGGACTATCCCGTCAGTACATGGAACACTGGCTCAACAAGCCTGCCTACAGTTTTACTTTCAGAAAGTCATGAGGGCTCAGCTTTTACACCTCACCAACAATCAGGTGCTTACCTCAGACACAGGTACTCATGGTGATTTATAGGCAATTGAGAATGTCAGCTTCCTGATGAAGGGAATCTGATTTTCTAGAAGATGGTATCACCTGAGTGCCATTTATGTCTGAGGAAACTCCTATGTGCTGCAGTTGAATCCAAGCAACTGGTTTCAGCCTATTTCAGGCACAAAAAACAGTGAACCAAGGACAAAACATTGCACTGATGTCCTATGGTCTGATGTGAGAGAGGACAAAAAATAGTTTCATCCAGATTCTTTGCTCCCTGCTCCGCATCCCAAATACATTGACAGTGAAAGGAAACAGCAAAGCAGGAGGTGGGACAACAAGTCTTCTCTTCAGGTCCACAATTTTTCACAAATTACTGTGACCTTGAGTATCCAAAGCTGTCAAGGGCCCAGGGCCAAGTATCAGTGAAAATGTGCCTTCCAGAAAGCAGTAATTTGTATATAAACTCACTGAGAGAACAAAACAGCATTTTTTTCCAGTCACCGAATTTAAGAAGTCATACCCCATCTCAGATACCAGGAGGTATCAAGAGATATTGGGAGGCACCCACCAGTGCAAGAGAGACGCTGCCCCCGACTGTACAGTTCAGGGAAACTGCTAGCCCTTCAAACACACATGGCAGAGTCACCACATAACCCCAGTGCTCATTTCTGGCTCCTCAAACAGACCACTTCATACACCTGGGGCTAACAACACAGTGGCAATGGCCACTGACTTCAGAGTAAGAGAATGTTTCCAGTCTACAAGAAGACTGTAAATGTCTACAAGTAGGTATTTCTGAATTCAGCTGGAGAAGTGGTCCTGCACCAGGATCTAATCCACACCACATTAAACCTACTCTGTTTTGTTCAAGAAACTTATATAAGTAGTATGAAAGAGGAAGTTTTTCATGAAAGCAACACAAAACCACTAATAAGTGATCCATTCATAATTAGAAGGCTCATATAAAAATGGTAACTAACTGGAGATCTCAAGAACAGTTACTACTCTTCCCTTTCTTTATCCTTCAGCCACTTGTAGAAGACATAAAAGAAATTCAAATTGTCTACTTAAAAACAAACTCTTTATGTATACTACATGCAAGTGACTGTATCTGTAAGGCGGATTTCAAAATAGCAAATTCATCTTAGGAAGAGAAACTCTACACTTGAGATGTGATACTGGACATTGTGTGATTTCCACATTCAGAAGATAGACTGAATTACTGTCTCTCACCAAAAGATGACTTACAACACTGCAGTAAGTCTCTAAAAAAAATAAACAAGACAGTGAAAAAGAATAGCTGTTAGTGACAGTACTTGATTTACTAGCCTAAAATATTATTAAGGGTTAACAGCAGACAGAATCCCTCAGCAGAACAGTTCATCTTGTTACACCTTGAAGTGAAAGGGGAAAAAAAAATGCCAAGGTTCAACACACCACCTCAAGAGCTCCTCTGCTGCTAAAAGCCATTTTTACCTTGTCTCCATGACCAGTTCAAAACCTCCCTGCTAGGCCAGAACCCAGCCACATAGGCCTCCTTTCTATCCATGACCCACAAGCACAACTACTATTTAAAAGCTGTAACCAGTTTCCAAGGTGCCCAACAGTGAGAGAGGAAACAGTGTTGGCTCAAAGAAATCTCAAAGAATGTCAAATTACTCCAGCATAAGCATTTTCAGGGCATGTTGTTGAGACATACGTTCTGATGCAGAGAGGGAAAAAAAATAAGTGACCAGAATAACACTCTTTCTCCAGGAAAGGAGAAAAACAAATGATAAATCCATCAGGGAAATCATTGTCTTGATGCAATCTACTTGGAAACTTCACTTAAATTCTCTATGTGCAGTCATGAAAAATAATTTTTAATCAATCTTCACACTACACTGAGATTCTCAGTCCTATACTTCCTATACCTTTCAGTCCTATACCATTTTTTTCTTAGCAAATGATATGTTAGTAACTTATAATCCAAATACATGGCTTCACACGGTTACCTTCCTACAGCAGTTCACAATTTTCTGTTGTTTATTTTAGCACTGGAGAAAATAAACTCCTATAAATTTGGTTTTCGTTCTGATTGGAGTTTTGGCTTCATGAAATAGTCATTGTAGGCTTCCAAGCAGATTAATTACCTGATGCCCATGGCCATACAGATGCTTTTACCTGTCAAAGAGATGTCAGACAGCTTGTGGCTCCCAATCCACCCTCAGTCCAAAGGAAGAGCCCACACCAGTGCATTCCATAAGGACTGGCTGACTTTATGGTTGGGCCAAATTGGGTCACAGTGGGCAAGCCTGCTCTTCATCAGCACACTTCTGAAGTGTTTCATGACGCTGCAGAGCTAAACCAGCAAAAAGCCCCAAACAATTAATGCAGCTGCTTTTCTTCCATTTAAAAGAAAACTCTGAAGACCTCAGAAGTGGCCCACCAAGGAATCAGGGACAGCCTAAGGGAAAGGGTAGAAGCACGCATCCTTAGACGGAGGGAATAGCACCAAGCCAGCTACAACACAAGCTGTGCTGTGAGGTGGAATAACATCCTAGGTCCACTCACTAGCTTATCTAGGAGTTATTTATGCATGTAAGACCAGAATGGAAAGAAAACCACCAAAGAGAGAACTCCAGAAAAGTTTCACCATGCTAACCAGCCCACTACTGTCAGCTGAAACTTGCTGGCAGTTCAGAGAAAACAATAGTCCTTCACCTGCAATGTGTTTATTTGAAGAGGCACCCAGGCTGTCGGCAGCACCTCACCTACCCTCCTGACAATGCTTGCCAGACACCGGGGCAGGACCGTAGCAACTCCTCCATGGCACACACCAGCTGGTGAGGAGAGCTGGAGCCTCGGGACAGTTCCATGCTGGGCACCATGCAGCAGGGATGAACTACATCATCTACAGGATGAACATGGGGACTCTTCTCTCAGTGCACAGCATTTCTTGCATGTCTTTAAAACAGGCTGTCACATCAGGCTGTCACTAATGTTCTTCTCTGTAACACCTCGCCCCAAAACATCTGAAGCACCTTCAGTGTGCTTACCCACATTCCTGATTGGGACAGCAAGGCACAGCATGCCCCAAGTCACTCAGAAATGAGATAACTGGATTCCCAGTTCAGCATTTCATTTTCTAGGCAGGACAGCTTTACAAGCATGTAGCCAGTTATCCAGCAGCCTATTTTAACAAGCAAGGAAGTATTTCCAGTAATTCCCCTTTTACCTAACAACAGCAGCATATTAATATAACTAAACATATTATAATTATATATCTATATTTACATATAATATACTATAAAATATATAATCAAATAGTAATAGCAATATTTCAAAATAATTAAACTTAGTATATAGAAAACAAGAATCTCTGCATCCTATACAGAATTAGCTGGGTTAAGAGATGGGAAGAAGGGGAGTTAAGATGTAACTGGAACTCTTCACATTGGCCTCTTCATTCTCTTAACAAATGGTTTTAACATCACCAACTAATATTTATATATACCAATGATGCATTTATGATGAGTTTTATATTAGATGTGTCAAAACACACAGCAAAACACAGAGCAAATCCTAGAAGTTTACCACAAGCACCATGTGGGAACTAGAGATACACACTTCTCACAACAATTCTGAGTTGCAGTTGCTCTAATTTAGCATCAACTCCCAGCACAGGGCACAGAGACTTCAGGGGAAAGTACCAGAAACTGTGCAGTGGGTGTGTCACAAGCACGTGGGGAATTTTCCCCTAGTCCTATGCAAACCGTAACAATCAGCTTACATCCTGAATCACAAAAAATATCTTCAGAGTTAATAAGCTAATCTATCTGAAGTGACTGAATTCTTTTCTTATGTGTATCTACAAAAGTTCGGAGACTTTACTCTGAATTACAATTGAGACAAGGAAAGCCAGTGTTAATCTCTGAACTAAACATGTATGTCCTCACTGATTTTGACAAAATTTCACAGACAAAAAGTTCAAAGGATTAGGCTATGTATTTTCATGCACATTTTAAAGTTAATTAAAAAAACAAACAAACAAAAAAAAAACCCCGCAAATAAAAAGCACACTCAACAGTCATCAGACAGTTCTTTCTATGGGAGGACCACACTCTGTTACCACTGTGGCCTACAGAACACGTTCGATTCTCACATTTATTCGTGGGAGCTGACTGCTCTATGACATGTGGCCTAACCTGAACCTTCCTGTTTGGCACCCTCAGAGTAGAACATCAAAGGACATACTGGAAGAAAAAAAGTTAGGAACGAAAAGGAAATAATTTTTAAAAAAATGGAAGCGTATCAAATAATTTTCACAGAAACTCATAACTTAAAGAAAATCTGTTTTCAGAGCAACAAGTCTCCCGGTGTCTATCCAAGCCGAGCAACTCCAGAGCTGACGCCGGCAGAGAAACGCACCCGCTGGAATTTGATGAGCACGTCCTCACTTTGTCCCACTAAGCCTTTATTTTTAAGGGGAGCACACGGACCACCCAAACCTTCAGGCAGAGGAACATCCGTGCACCCTCTCACGAACGCTCCGGCTGCGCTTTGGTGCCGCTGAGGTCCCGCACCGCCCGCGGCCACGAGGAGAAATGGAGCTCCCGCCCCGCCCGGGGCCGCCAGCCCGGCTCCCCCGGCTCCAACAACCGAGGAACCGAGGGGGAACTTGGTGCGGGGTCCCTGGCCGAGCGCTGCGGCCCCAGGCTGGCCGGGAGCGGGCGGGCAGAGAGGCAGAGCCGGGCACCCCGGGCCGGGCCCGGGCGGCCGGGAGCCGGCTCGGGGAGCTGGATCCTGCGCCCGCCGCACGCCTGGAGCGCCGAGCGAGCGGCTGGGCCGCGGGGAACCTCACCTGGGAGCAGAAGTAGGAGCCCTGGATGCCCAGCTTGAGGCAGGTGGGGCACTGCAGCTTGGCCTCGCTGCTGCAGCCGGCGGTCTCGCAGACTCGGCGGGTCTCCACCGCCGCCGCCATGCTGCCGGGCGGCCACGGGGGAGGAGCCGCCGCCCGGAGCTGCCGCCGGCTGGGGCGGGCGGGGAGAGCAGGACGGAGGGAGGGACGGAGGGAGGGAGGGGGAAAGGGATGAGGCTCCGGGGGTTCAAAGCCGCATCCAAGCCAGCCTTGAACGCTCCCAGTGATGGGCCAGCCACAGCTTCCCTGGGCGACGCATGCCAGCGCCTCGCCACCCTCACAGTAAAGAGGGCGTTTAGCCTATTTAGCCCAGAGAACAGAGGACTGAGAAGGGATCTCATAAATGTCTCAAAGGTGGGTGTCAAGGGGATGGTGCCAGGCTCTTTCCAGTGGTGCCCAGGGACGGGATGAGGAGTTTACGGCCATAAACTAAAGGACAGTAAGTTTCACCTCAACATGAGGAAGATCTTTACAATGAGGGTGGCATAGCACTGGAACAGGCTGCTCAGGGAGGTCATGGACTCCCTCTCTGGAGGTATTCCAGACCCACCTGGACACTCCTCTGTCTGGGTGACCCTGCCTTGGCAAGGGGGTTGCCCTGAATTATCCCCAGAGGTCCTCTCCAACCCTAATGGATTCCATGAAGAACTTCCCATAGTTTTCATCTGAGAGGCTGTACAAGAAATTTTTCAAGCGTATCTTCTTTTTTATGGAGTGTGGGCTGTGGTATGTAGGTCTGTCTGTGTGGTTTATAACAATTTTTTTGCACTATTTTTAGCCCAGGTAAAACCATCACAAAATCAATATTCAGTAAGGCAGTAACTAAAATTAGAAAAATAGGCTGCAGAGTCAAGGTGGCATTGTCACATGAAAGATGCTGATTGTCTTCCTGGAAAGAAAAGATTAGAAACCAACGATCTGTCATAAAAATAAATGTGATTAATGCACATATTATATTTCTCCTATTTGCATAGGTTAGAGAGTGAGAAAAGATACTACTTGTGCCTGTAAAGATGACTGCACTTAAGTTCTCTGGGTATTGTCAAACCCAGAGTCAATGTAGAATCACAGAGTTGCTAAGGTTGGAATAGACCTTTAAGATCATCAAGTCCAACTGTCAGCAATGCACCACTGCCATGTTCACCACCAAACCACGTCCTCAATTGTTCACCACCAAACCTCATGTCCTCAATATCCACGTTTTTGGAACACTTCCAGGGATGGTGATTCTCCCCCCTCCCTGGGCAGCCTGTTCTAATGCTTTACAACCCTTTCCATGAAGAACTTTTTCCTAATAGCCAATATAAACCTCCCGTGGCACAACCTGAGGTCATTCCCTCTTGTCCTGTCACTTGATATCTGAAGAAGAGATCAATCCCTACATGGCTTACAGCCTCCTTTCAGGCAGTTGTAGAGAAAAGTAAGATCCTCCCTGAGCTTCCTTTTCACCAGGCTAAACCCCCCCAGCTCCCTCAGCTGCCTCTCTCCAGAGTTGTGCTCTAGACCCCTCCCCAGCTCTGTTGCCCTTCTCTGGATATGCTCCAGCACCTCAATGTCCTTCTTGCATTGAGGGGCTCAGAATTGACCACAGGATTTCAGGTGCAGCCTCAACTGTATCACAGAGGAATGATCACTATCCTATGTACTAAAACATCTCTAACTTAATGTCAGTGCAAGGTGCTTTTTACTGTTTCGTGTCAATAAGCAGTTGATTTCAAAAAGAGCATGGGGAGATGCCTATTGTGTGGGAGAATAGCTGCAAAACACTTCAGAGCACAGATCTGCAAGATCCAGCCATTTGTACCGGGATCCCACTCCTTGTTTAAATTTCAGCTGTCTTCCCACTGCTGGCAAGTACAGACTATGATTTCAGTTAAAACTTTGCGGGATGAGATTCTGTCTGTCTTTGTACTTCAGTGTCATTAACTTCAATTAAACTACACCAATGCTTATTCTGATCTTAGTGCACAAAATATTCTGATTTCCTGGCATCCAGGAATGCCAGGATGACTCCCCAGAAAGTGTGATTCAAAATCCAAACTGTAATCTCAGTATTTTCTGCAACTGTCCTACTCCCCGTGGCCTTCTGTCCCCATCTTTAATAAACAAAAATAGTAATTTAAAAATTCTTTATCTCCTAAGCTTAGAGTTTAGGTGAAGATTTCTGTTTTCCCAGAACAGAAAAGCATACATCCTATTTTTTCAGAATAAGTGTATTCATATAAATCTAATCTACTTGATGCATTATGATAGTGTTAATTGGCAAAAAGTGGCTAAGTAGCCCCACTGACTATAGGACAAGAGCAACAGATAAAATGTATGATCCAGGTTTGCTGTGTGATAAGCAGTTTCACTTAGCATGGCAAATTAACTGAAGGAATTTGATGCCATGCTATTGCTGAAGTGTAGTTGCACATGGACATCTGTGTTTCTGACAGTTCTCACCTTCATTTCTCCAGTACTGATAAGTACTTGTATCAGCCTACCATTTGTAGAAAGCATGAATTCACTGTCAGAGCAAATTAGGAATGTTTCTAGGATGCCTGCAAAACACAAAGATTACAATAATTATTTTCTTAAACAAGTGAAAATAGCGGTGTTCTGATTCATGCAGCTCATGCTGTGACAGTATTCATGTCCAACTTCTGAAGATAGGCAACCAGCTGCCAACCAACATAATGAAATATCTTTAAAGGACACATCATTAAGTGCTTATTTTAACCTTCTTAAAGCAAAATGTTACTGAATGTGCAGAATCACTCCTTAATGACCCATATCACTAGCAGGTATTGTACTGTGAAAAATCACTGCTGCTTTTCCAAGTCACCAACAAACCAAGCTATCAAGCAAAGCAGGACAAGTACCTTCAGACACTTCAGTCGTCTTTTAGTTCTGTTTGAAGAACCCTAAGGAGTTGCAGACATCGTTTACCTGGTTAAGCAGGGTTTGCAAGTACCTGTTGTCACTGACACGGTATAAAAATCCCAAAGCATTACTGGCTGATTTAGTTTCAGTGTCTCCTGCTCAAATGTCATCATCTGCTTCTTGATGAGATTTCAGTACAATTGTTATTAATAATTTAGGATACTTTACAAAATTTTATGAGCATCTAATTCACATTCAAATTCATATCTGAGTATAAATTCACAATTTATTCCTATTTTTATCTTTCATCCTTACTGAGACAATGTCAGTATATGCTTGTGCTCATTTTGTAGTGGTCAACAAGGAGGCATGTAAGGAAAGGACTCCTGCTCTAACTAGTAGACAGGGTTCCTTTTGTTATTCAGTTCCATTTATTTGCTGTATTTCTGAACTGTAAATTAATGGCATGCTGTTTCCCAGCTCACTTAGGGAAGCCAAGGATGCATGTATTAATTAAACAATTTAAATATATGTGTAATTTAAAGAACAGCAAGCCCCCTAATTGAGGAATTTGCAAACTTGTGTAATTATGCTCTGCAGTCTTTGGAAAGAGCACAGGCTGCAACAGCAGATCAGCCTAGAATAACAAACCCTGAAAGATTTTTGCCTAGGATTTGCTGTTGAAATAGTTTTTAAACAGCCCTACATCATCATCCCCATTGTAAAAATTATGTGGTTTCTGTGGTATTTCAATGCTTTTGTTTTCCAATTTGGCCTTGATGTTCTGATCTACAAAATGAACCGACTCCTGCCTCCTGGAGGTCCATCCACTGCCATTTCCCATTATCTGGTGGCACACTCATTCTCACCGGGGAAGTTCACTGACCTTTGCTGTGACCCTACCTGAGCAGAGGTCTTTTTTCTCTGTCAGGCTTTTCACATCCCTTTCTGGCTGCCTGTCCCCCTGTGTTACAGACCAACGCACACAGAGGCGCATGAGTCACGAATTTTATAGCCCATTCATGATGCTTGATTTATGTCCACTGCTGTCCTCCCAACTCCTCCAAAGTGATCCAAGGCTGGGAGTACGTGAGGGCAGCAAAGAGGGCGAAAGGGGAGGTCAGCGATGTCTCATGGGTCAGAGAGCAGCTGCAGAAAAGCGAGAGCAGCTGGCAGCTGAGACAGCTGCTGCTTAGGGAGAAAATAGCCACTGAATTTGACATTACTTAATTAAGAGAGCACCTTAGCTTGGGTCCCCCTCCTCGCTTTGCTTCTCTACATTGCAGTACTGGGGGCTGGGCAGTCCCCCTTTCCCAGTGAAGCTCTTGGTAGCTGTCTCCTGTTCAGGCTCATTGAAGACGTAATTAAATGCCTCTTTGTCTAGCGATGGCTGAAACAATGCAAAAATGCCACCCAGGAGCCAGACCACATGCAACTGTGCACTGTTGTGGCTTGGCCAGATGGTACAGGCACCTACGGAGTTTCTCATACCAAATGCAACAGTTATGTTTAGGTTGTGTGTGTCTGTATGCGCATGCAAAAGAGAGAAATCACGAACCCATAGCAAACGCCTCAAATATGGCCACAAAAGCATGATCTTAAAAACTGAATGGAAACCAGCCCTATAGGAAATATTATGCAGAGGAAAAGACAAACCTGTGCTCGAAGCAAAATAGTCCTCCTAAGAGCATGGGCGGGGGGGGGGGGGGGGGAGAGAAATCATTGTAAACATCCTTTGTAAATGAACAAAGTTGCATTCAAGAAATACCTGTCTCCATTTTTCCTCTTTAAGGAAAAAAATGTGGGATTTCAACTTCTGTACAAGTCTTTAAGTTAACAGAGACTGCAATTTATTTTATTTTATTATCTTTTCCCCTCCATTGCTGCAGATGCAAACTGAACTACTGAAAGGCCCACTCCAGCCACAGTCCAGGCTGGATCAGCCTTACTCAAAGCTAATTCCAAGCAAGCATTAGCTGTGGTGAAAAGGAAGATCCTGCACATTCTTTTGTTTTGTTTTGATTTGACTGTTCAAGCTGTACTGTCTCTTGCAGAACCTGTATTGATACAGGACATCGAATTTGCACTGTGATGTTTCTCTCTGCATTCAAGAACAATCTTCTGGTATCCAAGAATTTTAGCATTTTCCAATGTATGTATATGAAACTTGATTGTTTTATCATGGGACAAAATCAAAGGGAAACAAGCTGCACCTTTGCA